GATCAAATCCCATACTAAATTAATTCTAAAATCCTTACTTGAGATATTCGAGTTAGTTACTTTATGATAAATAATTACACAATTTACAAGAACAGTATCGAGAATTCAAAAAATAAAGGAAACCATGTTCGTCTAACTGTCAATTGACAGTTGTAATATCCACAAAGTTGGTCGGCGATATCTACCCCACCCATGTAATGGTTGTAGTCATCAATTATCTGTGGAATCTCCAATTCTTTTCGATGTCTATCTCCAAAAACATGACGCACCGTATTTGCATTGGAACTTGTTTCACGGGGTCACCTCCTGTTACGAATAACTTTCCAATTTTCGCCAACAATTTCATGAATAGTAGTTAGCATTGTTACAGGGCCATTATCCATCCAAAAAATAGCCAAAATGTTATTAATTACTTTTCCCAAAAGTGTATTCCAATCTAATACCATTTCTTTGCCAATTTTTAATTCTTTAAGAAACCTGGATGAATTTGTACGAACGGTGCCACAAACACCAATATCCTTTTCTCGTAAATATTTAAAAAGCAGGATACTCGAAAAATAATTATCCATATATATGTGATATATTTTATTATTGGGGAGCATATTGGCCAAATATGCGACCAATATTATTAAGCCCGGTGATAGATTCTATCAAGTCAGTTTTTTTAACTCGCGAAGTAAACACAAATGCCCATGTATAACCATAATCACATAGAGAAATAATCTTATACCCCTCTGGGGTAGGTTTGTTTTTTACCCTTACTATATGTATACTTCGCCTAGAAAAACGTATGATCATTTCATCAATAAATACTTGTGAACTAGGGATATAATATTTTTTAACTGTACTTTGAACATGCGACGCGAATGGTTTGACCTTTGAGTACCATTGTGTATGAAGTTGACCTGGTGCAGAAATATGGAAGAATCTTTTAATTTGTTGGAATCTATAAAGAGACATAAACTTTTTAATTTCGTAGTTCGCCCTTTTATCATCTCGATTCCACAAATCATCCAATGCGTTAATATGATGAACTCCCATATAAATGATCAGCCCAAGCCAAATCTTCAGTTCATTTAAAGTTAACAGATTCCAAACCCGACCACCTTCTCTACTTTTTACTTGCTCGTATGTATTAGTGTTCTCGACCATTAACTGCAACTGCTCATCGGTAAAAAATAATCGAAAAAGCGAAAGTGGTGATATGATGCCTAGTTGAAGTTCATGGGGAAGTATAGTATATCCTTTATGAATTGGATGGATATTTTGAATAGGATTAAAAGTGGGTGATTCTAATGATGATAATTCTAAATTTAAATAGTTACTTTGTTCTTCATTCTTTTCTCTTCCTCTACCCCTTCCTCTTTCTCTACCCCTACCTCTTCCTCTACCCCTACCTCTTCCTCTACTCCTCCTAGTGCTCACTCCTATATTTGTAGCTTCATCTGATTCTTCTATATATTCTTGTTTTTCTTCATTTATTGCATTATCAGTAGCTCTTACTAGTTCGCGATCGATTACCAATTCGCCGTGGTAGTCACGTTCGAAAGTAACTAAATATTGCAGGTCAGAATCTTCATTAGAAGTTGTATTGTCAAGAGACATGATTGAAGGTTTATTTATTT